TTTTTTCTGCTTCAACATATTCATTTTCAAAAATTTTTAGAGTGCAACGCCGACGTGCGCTCACTGTGGGCAGATAATCCAGGAGCGATCGGGTTCTCAGCAAAAGTAAATGAATAGCAACGCGCACCAGTGTAGCCAGTGCGATCATGTGTTTTGCGCAGTGTTCCGTCCAGCAGATGTTTGCTGTTAAAAATTTCCTTTCTTACTTAGGCGTATGCAAAAATAGTCAATGTGTTGCATAGTTCCTAAGCTGTGAGCCTTTCCACCGAAAATTTTACGTACTGCAGCGTGAAACGTACGTAGCTATAGGGGAAAGCTGAATTTGAAATCTTGGTTTGCACTCTTCCAAACTTTTAGTTTTCTGCTTCTCTGGCTTCAGAGTTAATGAACTTCGTGCCAAAACTTTCACATGACTGTACTTGAGACCTCGGCATACCCTGGAGATTAATCTGAACCTACAAGGTACCTACGTAGATAGAAGTCATCCTCCTAACTAGCTTATGGTGCATTTTCTTTATTGCTAGAAATATATGTGGGAATACTAGTACTGCAACTGAGTAAGGATGAATTGGTACTGTTTTAGGAGAGATTTGTTAATTGATATTTTTGGATGTGCTTATATATCACGTATTACTCGTTCCAATTATTTTCTGCTTTTTCTGTTTGCCCTTTCCACTTCTGACGACGATATTTTATTATCAGACTACTGTGTGCGGTGGAATTTAAGGAGCGGATGAATGCCTGAATGTGACGAAATGGTTGCGTGATTTATGCATTTCATATTCGTTTTGGTAGGTAAGTGTGCACATTTATAGGGTTCTTGCTCATCCGGACTGCTTGATTGTATTTTCAGTCTATTGTAGCTTTTGTCGTCTTTCCTCTGGTCACTGCCGCATTAGCCTTCTCTGTGTTTCTCCACTCAATGGCATAAATGCCATGTAAATTTGGTTTTTCTTTATTCTGTTGCTTCAGTTCAATTATAGCAGTTCTGTTTGTTCAT